CAGCAGGAAAGAAACATCTTACATTTGGCTTGCCAAATGACTCTCTTATTTGAACCGAGGAGGCGGCTCCTCTCTCTCTCCATCAGAAGAAGACAGCCCTTTCGTCTCCCCTTGCAAGAAGACAGGTAGCCCCACTCCAACGCCCAGCTCATTGTCTCCAAACAGGCTCCTCCGACAGCTCCAGATGAGCATGGCAGACACGTAAAACAACCCATCGTGCTGGGACTGATTTTTGCCTCAGCTTGAAGGTGCTTCTAAGCACTTCCCTAAGGGTTTCCTTCTCTAGGAGCCTTCCTGCCCCAGCAGCAAGGTGGATTGCAGAAACCAGAAGGAGATAGAGGAGATTGGTCGCTGACCCCTCCCCCAGGTCCTGGCTACATCAGAGCCGTGCTCCAGTGGGCAGCGGGGCAGGTACCCAGCTGCACCCCGGTTGTGCCAGCCCTCCCTGCCCCTCTTATACTGGGCAGAGGGACCCCCACCCCTGGAGAGGCCCCTGAGAGCCCCTTGCAGGAAAGCTTGGCCTGAAGCACTGGCAAAGCTTCTTGGCAGGGTGAGGAGCTGCAACATGGTGTCCCAGAGGAAGGTGCCAAGGAGCCCCAGCAGGGCGCAGCCCCGACCGCGGGGCTTTGGGAGGCTTAAAGGGCTTTGGGAGGCTGGGTGAGAAGAACTTTTTTATTGCTGTTTCCTAAAATGCTGCTGTTCTTGTCGTGGTGAGCAGCCACCTCTGGAGGGCCTCCTGGCTAAAGGAGGGCTCACCTCACCATCCTTCTCCTCCCACCTCTTCTCAGACAACACCAAACCATCACCAGCAATGAGGACCTGCCAGACCGTCATCTCTGGCCACCAGAGCTTCAGACCCCAGCCCATCGGGCCACTTGCTGGCCAGAACCAAGTCCTCTCTTGATTCAAGCCACCCAATCACCTAATGCTTGGGCTGCTCAGGGAGCTGGAAGAGCAGGCGCACGTACCAGAGGGCAAAAATGCTGAAATACCTCATCCTGCAAGCAGCAAGCTGGGGGAGAGGGCAGGAGTCACCCAGGACCTCACCACCAGCCACGGGCTGATCCCTCACCCTAGACCATGCTCATTGTTGCCGGCTCCAGCTCGGCTATGGGGGATGGCCCCTCGCTGAGCCCCCACGGTGGGGATGCAGGACCTGGGACAGGCACAACCCAAGCTGTGTCATGTAACCCAGCTCACAAATATTGCACAAGCAGAGCTCCCTCCTCACACACCGCTCCCCACTGCAGTGTCACCTCTGGTCTGCCAGACCCTGCCCCAGGCTCAGGGACATCACTGGCGTCTCCTTCCACTTCGTATCTCACACACCGAGCTCAGCGCCCAGGGAAGATCTCACACTCCTGCTCCAGCTCGCCAGCTCTCCACCTGGCTGCACGGCCTCCCCCACGGAGGTCGGCTCTTCCCCGGAGCAGGCTGGGCTCCCTTTCCAAAGGTCTGAGGCACAGCAAGAAGCAGCCCCTCGTTCTCCCTCCCGGGGTGTCACCACTTGCTGGGGAGCAGGAGGGTGTCCAGGGAACAGCTGCTGCATCCAGGACAGCGCCGTGTGGCGAGCCTGACCCTCTCATGGGCCCAGAGCTGCTTGGCAACTCAGCCTCCAGCCCCCGGCTCGGTGGCCAAGCCCCTTCTCTATGGTGGACATTTCCAGAGGCAGCATTTAATCGCTCGATTTGCAGGGTTTACCCAGCCATGTTGCAACAGCTCCCAGCAGCTCTCACAGGCAGCGCTGCAATAGGAGGCAGCTGCTGAAGCTCCGGAGCCACTCGGCAAAGGGGCTCCAGGAGCAGAGGAGCCCTTCAGGGGTAAATTGCCTGAACACCACCATAAATTGCCTCAACTGCACCTGCCTGCTTCCTTGCAGGGGCCCGCTGGCCCCCAAGCCTCAGGGACTGGGGCCTGCCAGAGGCAGGCATGAGCTCAGCCGTGGCCCCAAGCGTGGACCAGCCCCTCCTCTTCCTCCCCAAATTCTTGCCACACAAAGCAGCCGGTACTGATCCCCCTTCTCAGCCAGCTCCCCCGCAGCACCCCTCAGTGCCAGAGGCAAGCAGAGAGCAATGGCTGACGATGGCACAGCCGCCAGAAGCATCGAGCCTCCCCCGGATGACAAGCAAGCAACGCCGGGCACCGCACCCGAGGGCAGTGGCAGAGCTCCCTTACCTGCCCAGCGCATCCCCATCCCAGAACTGCCCTCGGGAGGCACGGGAGGGTCCAAAGCCCCCGGCCCCCGCAGATCAGCACCTCCAGCCATCCCTGGCCTGGCCGGTGCCATCGGAAGTCCCTGTGAGCAGCCTCGCTGGGTTTCGGAGGAGAGACAGCCCCCTGCATCCCAAATCGATGGGAGCACTTGGTATTGCCAAGAGGATCAATTCTGGCACTCTCCCACCCTCTCACTTGGGGTTCCTGTTTCACAGGGGTGGGAAGGAAGCGGGAGCACCTGGGATTTCTAGGAAAGGGCTAGAAAAAGGCTTTCCTGGGGGTGGAGAAAGAGATGAAGCTTTTTTTTTTTTTTTTGAGGGAGAGGTGTTTTAAGAGGAGATAAGACAGGTAAGGAGGCTGGGCAGGTTGGAAGGGGACATGGGGCCAA